CTGCCCCTACACGCCTCGGTCCTCGTGACTTCAAGTTACTTTGCCCGTCACGCTTCGGACTGTATCGGGATATATCACTCGCTGTGGGCGAATGTCGCCTCTATGCTCTTTTTCCACCCTATCTTATCTCTCTCTTTACTGATCCGCCCTTCATTTTTGCGTTCGTTTGTCGTCAAGTATAGCACCATCTTTGCTCGTCACTGCGCAGTCTAATTATGCCAACCGTCTTGCTGCCCTCGTCGGCAGCCGCATTCGCTCCACGCTCGTCGCCGAACGTGGTGTTGAATGCGCGCATCGAGCCCTGGCTGACTGCCACCCTCAAAAGAGTGAATCGAGTCAAGCGACCCCTTAACAATGTTACCCAGCATACCAGATGCCTTACGGAGACGCTGTCATCCCCCGACGCCATCTGGACACTGTGCTCTCTGATGTTTCCCAAGGCCCCCGATGCGGAACTCAAGAAGGACGACAACCCCCTGGTTGAGGCCATGTGCAACTACCAGATGGTCCACATCGAAGCGTACGTCGTGCATGTCGACATGGTTTCGCAGAACGAAGTCGCCTTTAAATTGACTCCGGAGACCATCGAGGCTCTCGTCGACTACCACAAGGATGTCTATTCCGTCGACACGGCTGCCAGCACTTGGGACTGGTCCGACAAGGATAGTCAGCTGAAGAAGCTGCAGGAGGAATTTGTGCAAGCTGTCAACAAGTTTGTCTATCGCACAGAGGCGCTCGCGCTGGAAGGGCTCGAGGAGGATGGCGCAGGTGAACTGCTTGGCGGCCGCAGCGATGACGCGAAGGCGGCGATAACCAGTCTCTTCGTGCCTCTACTCCCCCCGCCGCCACGTGTAGTTGACGTCCTCCGCTCGACCCCTATCCTTCCCAGCTCGACCGTACCGGGAACCTGGTGGCAGGAGCCGATGCCACAAACACTGCCTTTGGAGTCGTGGAAGGTCCTCCCATCCAGCCCCGCAACAACCAGCACTGGCGAGCCGAACGCTGGTATGTGGGCAACCATGAACGGCATGGGAGAAGCGCAGCTTACTTCCCCAACGTTCAGCCAGCCATATACCACTTCACCATACAATGCGACACAATACTACAGCACAGCGGCGACGTCGGCGACCATCGCGGCGCTCCCGCTGCCGAGCATGCTAGTGCAACCGTGCAGCACAGTGGCTGGTCTGGCGGGGTTTGGATGGGAGAACCGGTACCAAGATTTTACACTGCCATACGGGACAACAATGTAACAGGTCCATGGAACCAGACACTTGATGTTAACGGTATCCCTGACTTCGCGTGTCTTTGGAATAGATCCGAGGATCCGTACCGACAATATGACTACGGCTCCATGCCACCGGGGCCCGCGTATACACAGTCACGAGAACGACCGGGGTCCTATCCCCACGGATACCCTCATCAGACTAATTGGCATCAATGACGGCGTTACCCTTGATGATTTGCGAAACACATGATACACCCTCACGTCTTTGCATTGGTTTTTCTTATCTCTTTTCGATATTCGATGACACCAGTTTTCACCACAAGTGCCCTTGTTCTTTTCGTTTGCCTTTGACAGCGCTAGCGTTTTGTTTGATTTTCGTTCTATAGCATCAAGAGCGGCGGGTCGGCTGTTTGTTCTGATTTTTGGGGATGCCCCCTTTCAATCCCGCATTATATGTCATGAAGACCTGGTTAGCCTCGCGGCTTGGGATATGATTTGGATGAGGAATGTTCGCCCTTCGTTTCGTGTCGCGGAGTCAGGAGGGCTACTGTGCTGTGCATGGTGGTCGTCCTGACGCCATCGTCTGCTGGGTACAGGTACCCATTGATGGCAGAGGTGGCTAGCGACTGCTGTGGCTATCTACATCTGGGATGTGATGGCTGCAGAGTTTGGCAGCACAGATGATGTGGCGCAGGTAGCCCTGGGGCGTCTCAGATCTGAAAATCCGCCTGTGGCGGACCTGATCGGGTTTGCAACTAACGGTCTGTGACCGTCAGTGGAACTTTACGAGACTAACTTGGGCTCACTGTCCCGTCAATGTGGCTGTCCGGTAGGTTCATCTCCTATCATCCAGGCTGGGTTTGAAGTTACCTGGATACGCCCGTTCACATCCTCACTGGGTGAGACTCTGAGCGGGAATCGGATGCTGGAGGGCTGCGCCCAGTCTTCTTTGGATCTTCGTTCTTTATTCTAAGCATTACTACCATCTTTTTGAATTATTTGGCACGATGTACTTAGTCTGACATAATGGACCACAAGACGATCGGCACTGCGCAGTAGACAGGATGTAGAGTAAGGCGTAGAATAGTAAGCACTGATCTCATGGCCGCCAGGGGAGAGACGAGCCTTGCTGGATTCATCGGCAAGAACGGTCTTTTTCTGCCCCGGACCGGTGACGTCAGACCCCGAGCTCCGCAACACCACCAGAACCGGAGGTACCATTCATTATCTTCCTCTGACGATGAACTTCTGCTCTTGATCGGATTAGCTTTTTGTGGGTATTCTAGTTTATTGTATTATTCTATTTTATGTCTGCCTGGTTGCCTAAGCCCTCCTGTGACATACCCTCCTCCTATTGCCTCCGCCGGGAGTCTCCTCTTTCAGTCTTACAATCATCATCATCATCACCACCACTTCAATAACTCCTAACTTACACACCACCTCACCACCAGTGAACAACAAACTTCCATAATTTCAGAAACAAATATCATCCATATATACTCTACATGACCCACCAACATCAAATCCTACCACATACACAACAATTGAACCGAACCCAGCCGACCCGAAACCACAAGCATACCCAACTAAGTCGATAGAAAGAAAGAAAGAAAGAAAGAAAGAAAGAAAGAAAGAAAGAAACATGCCCCTCCCCACGCTCCAAGAATCCCTAGAATCCCTCTCCCCGACCACCTGGACCGACGTCCCGAGCACCGACCCCGCCGCCCTACGAGCCTACATCACCGACCTCCGCACGAAAGCGCACCTGATCGTTGATTCCGTCCCGTTACCTTCAGACGACGATATCCAAGCACAGCAGGCCGCGTATGGCGGACATCCGGCGAGTAAGGTAGTGAAGGCGAGCGGCGCAGTTCCTGTGCATGATTTAGTGGATCATGATAATAATGGGAATGGTGATAGCAGTAGCGGGAGCGGGAGTGGGAGTGGGAAAAGCAACAACAACAACAATGGGAAAGGAAGCGGGGTCCAAGCACTTCGAAAACAATGGAGCAAGCCGATACGAGTGACCAATTCTCGGGATAACCCGTTGCAGATCCCGATATATAAGTTGCAGGGGGGAGATGGGAAGGGACATTGGTTTGGGAGGCGGAGCGTGCATGAGGGGTTAGGGTTTGAGCGGTGGAGGGAGAAGTTGTCGGGTGAGATGGGGGAGACGTTGAGGAGGAATCAGGAACGGGTGAGGAAGGGGAAGATGCCGGATCAGGCGGTTAGGGGGATTGGGGCGGAGAGGTTGGTTGAGGGGGTGGAGGTTATGGGTGGTGGTGATAGTGGTGATGGTGGGGATGGGGTGATTGGTAGGGTGCAGGTGTATCATGTTTCGGCGCAGTTTCCGAAACCTACGACTGCGAGGGATTTTGTGAGTTTGATTGTGAGTTGGGATGAGAGTGAGGGTGAGGAGGAGAAACGGAAGAAGGAAGGGAAGGGGAGGGAGTGGATGATGGTGTCGAGACCGTGCGAGCATGATGAGGTGCCTCCGGTGCCGGGGTATATTCGGGGTATGTATGAGAGTGTGGAGTTTATTCGGGAGATACCTGTGGAGGGTAAGCCTGAGGGAGCGATGAATCCGGTTGAATGGGTGATGGTGACGAGGAGTGATCCGGGGGGTAATATCCCCAGATGGATGGTGGAGAAGGGTACCCCCAAGAGTATCTGTACGGATGCTGTCAAGTTCTTGAATTGGGCTTGTCGGGACGGGGAGAGGAAGAGAAGGTCCACGGACAGGTCGGTGGGCAGTCATAGTCAGTATGATGAGGAGGAGGATGCGTCCAGCAGTGAGGAGGACAGTGACGACGAGTCATACACTGAAGTCGAACACCACGGGTTGATTGCCAGCTTCGCATACCTGGTGAACGCAGGTCTGGAGCGGTATGCGCCGCAGACAGTGCTGGACTACCTACCGCAGCACTCGCGCCAGGTCTCTGCCCAGAGTGTTCCTGCCAGCAGCACGGAGCCAGATGTCGAGGGGGCTAAGGAGCACGAAGACGATGCAGTATCGCACGACAAAGCGTCGATAGCACCATCAGCAAACTCAGGCGTCGAGTCATCACTGGAAGCAGGCCCCGACGTATCCGCGCTGGAGCTAATGGCCAAGAACAAGAAAGGCAAGCTGACCTCGCACGAGAAACAGCTGGCAAAGCTCGCAGAACGCAAACGCAACGTCGAAGCACAGCTGGATAAAGTACGAGCCGACATCCAAGCCCTCCGCGTGACCTCACCAGTCGAAGGTTCCAAGCGCGACAAGACATCCACGACCGCTCTAGCAGCAACAAACGAGGGAGCCAGCAGTGAACCTCCAAGCAGCAGCCCAGCCAGCAGCGTGCACAAAGGCCAAACGTCAAGCAAGAGCCGTCATGCCGAGAATCCCGACCACGAAACGGCAAAGATGCACAAGGTTGCGTCCGGGCTGTTCCACGACGAATCCAAGCTGCTGAAACAGCTCGGCAAGATCGAAAAAGACCAGGTCAAGGAGGCATCGAAGATCGAGGCGCGGCAGCAGAAGCACGCAGACAAGCAGGAGAAGCATCGCTCGCGGGCAGAGACGGAGGCGTTGCGCCGCGAGGTGGAGGTGCTCAAGAAGGAGGTGCATCGACTGCGCGGAGAGCGCAAGCAATGGCTGGACTTGATCGGGTCGTTGCAGAATGAGAATACGCGGTTGGCAGCGGCGCAGGGGGGTGGAAATGACAAGGCAGATATTAGCATGTAATGTAATTGTATATTAGCGTAGCGTTGTACATGATGATAATCGATTGATTTTAACCCATCTTAGTCCATATCCTTAGTATGTAATGTAATGCATGTGAAACCTCCACGCCAACGCCATTAACCCACCATTGAACTCCAGTAGTATGCAAATACCTGCATGACACAATCCCACCATCCATCATCTATCTCCTTCCACAATACTCCCCCATCAAACACCCAACTCCTTCAACTCATATCATCTCACCCCCATCCCTCAAACCCCACCACCAATCCCCCCATGAGTAACAGTAATAGTAATAGATTATTCCTGCGTCTAAACACCATATCATCAGCCCAATCCATCCCCAATCATATAATCAAAGAAAAAAAAATTTAAGAAAGATAAGGAACACCAACCTCCGGCGGATTCCCCGCCCCTCTAACCATCTTCTCAATCATCGCCGCGCGAACCTTCTCCTTCGACTCGCCCATTCCCAACGCCATATACGACAACATAGGCGGATGACCAATATACGAGGCGTAGCTATCCCGGACAATGTTCGATACCCATTCGTATTTCGTCGTGTCCGCGTGGCCAGTACCGACGTACCGCGCTTGCATCGCCTCGAGGTTTTGGATCGTGCGGAGTTTGTCGGCCATTTTGAATATCTTTCTCCTTCCTTTGTTTTGTTTTGGTTTGTTTTGGTGATTATGGAATGGGTTGGTGGAGTGGAGTGTAGTTTGGGTTGGTTGGAATTGGGGTGGTAGTTGGAGATGGGATGGATGGATGGATGGATGGATGGATGGATAAGAATAATTGATGATGATAAGTCACGTGATATACACCCAACTTGATATAAAAGTGGGTTTGCAGTACAAAGTTAGGTATGTTCATGCATAACTAAACGGTATATCGTAATGGAACGACAAAGAAGAAAGGATTCTGGGGATGATGCACTTGCAGAGAGAATTGCAAGAGTTGTGCACGCGCACTTTAATGCTCTGCCCGCACGCAGTAAACCTATTCTGAGGGATGATGGGACGAGAGAGTGGATTCCTATGTGTGGGGTTGTGGTTGTGAGGGGTTTGTATATTCTTTTCTCTTCTTTCTTGCTTTGGGTTTTATTTTAGGGGGTTTTATGGTTAGGGGTTGTTGTGTAGTATGCTTACAATATGTTGGTCTAGATAATGATGATGATGATGATGATGATGATACAGCGGAGGAAGAATTGACCTGTGTGGCTGTTACGTATGTTCACTCTACCACTAACTTACCCTATATAACGATACAACAAACCTACTTTGACCTAGTAAAATACTAAAGCATCCAGCTCCGGCGCAAAATGCCTCCCTGCCACACAACTCGCATCCAGCACCGGCCTCGTCCTCCACGACTGGCACGCCGAGGTCCTGGCCCTCCGCGCATTCAATTACTGGCTATTGAGTGAGATTCGCGCATTGATAGACCATGAACATGAACATCAACAGTCCTCATCATCATCGCCATCTACATCCAATCCCTCCCCCTTCATCCGCCGGCGCCAACAATCCCCAAACAAGAATAACAACAACGAACCACCCTTCGAACTCCACCCCTCCCTAAAAATCTATCTCTACTGCACGACCGCCCCCTGCGGCGACGCAAGCATGGAACTCACCATGGCAGCGCAAGACGACCCAACACCATGGGAAATCACACCCTCAGAAGAAGAAGAAGCAGGCCTCCTCTCCGGCCGCGCCAACTTCTCCCAGCTAGGCATCGTCCGCCGCAAGCCCGCGCGCGCAGACGCCCCATCCACGAAAAGCAAGTCCTGCTCGGATAAGCTTGCCCTGCGACAGGTGTCGTCTCTCTTATCGAGGGGTATGAGTTTGCTGGTGGCTGTTACGGAGAATGCGTATCTGGCGGGGGTGGTGATGCCCCGTGAGGAGGTGAGTGAGACGGGGTGTGTGAGGGCGTGGGGAGTAGAGGGGAGGATGGGGCCTCTGGTATCGAGGTTTGAAGAGGGAGGAGGGGGTGGGTACGGGTATGGATATCATCCGTTTCGAGTTCTTTCTGTTGATATGGGAGTTGTGGAGGAGTTGTGGGCGTTTGGGAAACCGAAGAGTAAGGAGGCTGGGATGAAGTGTAAGCCCGGGAATATCTCGGCTGTTTGGACGGCTGCGCCGGTGCTTGGGGGAGGTGGTAGTGGTAGTGGTGGTGGGGTGGATCGCTATGCGGCGGAGAATGGGGCAAAGCAGTTGCCGAAATTGAGTGGCTCGTGGACCGGGTTGTATGAGACGATCATTGGGGGAATGAAGCAGGGGTATAAGGCGTCGGTGCCGGTTGGGAAGGGTGCGTCGGCGCTGTCGAGAGCGAAGATGTGGGGGGCGTTGAGGGGGGTGTTGGGTGGTGATGATGGTGATGGTTCTGAAGAGGGGGATGGAGGCCAGGCGGTTAGGGCTGCGTCGTATAAGGAGTTCAAGAGGGCTGCGCTGGAGACGTCTGTAGGAAAGGCACGGGAATGTGCTATGCTGGAGGCCAAAAAGGTGCTGGTGCCGTGGGTGCCGAATGATGGGGATGATGAATGGGGGTTGGAGGTATTGGTGGATCAGAAAGGGAAGAAGAGAAAGCGTGATGACATTAAAAAGAATAAAGATGTCCAGTCTAGCTAATACATGTCATGTCCGATATGTGACTCGTTCAGACGAATAGTATCATACATTAAGAACTTTTGTTCGGTCTATACCCATTATTTTCAGTAAATGCCAGGAATGATCCGGCTCCGGACCAACGACGTATACCGGTCCCAGTCGGCACCGTACTTGCGCTTGCACTTCTCCTCGTCGCGCTGCTCGCGGTGGATCAGCAGCGTGCCAAAATACACCAGGAAGAAGTACGTGAAGATCATTCCCCAGCCCCGGCTCTCGGGGGTCTGCACGGCCTGCTTCTGCAGGTCCCCGGTGGCCGGGTTGATGCTCTGGATAATAGCGTAGCCGGCAATGCCCGTAGGCAGACAGTACGACCACGACATGACCCAGTCGCCCAGGTAGTTGATGTGGCGGGCGCTTCCCCACCAGCCAGACGTGATCAGCTTGGAGCCGCTGGCCGTCTGGATGTACTTGAGATGCTTGACGCGGGGGTCGTTCGGGTTGGTGCGGAAACGGTTCTTCTGGTTGTTGGCGCCCCGGAAGATCGAGTAGCCAACGGCAGTGACAGCCAGAACGAGCAGGATGCCATTGAAGCCCAGCTCGTACGGGAAGACGGCCAGGTAGCGGGTCTGGAAGTTGTAGATAAACGGCACCCAGACGAGGTCGCCAAACGAGAGCATGAATCCGAAGCCGTCCATGATGATGTCCATTGTAGTCAGCAGGGCAGGCTCCATGTACAGGCCGTCCAGGACATAGAACGCCTGGAAAGCAGTCGAGATGACGATCGAGTCCGTGATGTAGCCGTAGGTGCGGTACTGGCGGGCAATGTTCGACAGGTTCAGGATGATCCACCCCAGCAAGCCGGGGCGCATTTCGAGCCAGGACTTAATGTCGATCGTGCGCGAAGCTTCACTGACAAAGGGAATCGGCAGGCGTACCCGGGGGTTCAGCTCTCTGCCAATGAAGAAATCATACAACGCGTTGCCAGTGTGACCACCCGGAGCTAGCTGGCGGAGCTCGGGGTTGGGCTGCCCTGGAGCCGGAACGGTGAAGCTCTTCGCATAGACGAAGATGGCGATGACAGTGCAAATCACCAGATTGGCGGTGATAACCTGCAAGTAATTGTCCCAGAGGAAGGTCCAGACAGCAAAGTCCGCGCCATAGACGTAGGTGCCCGTCGCACAGCCGGAGAGGATCAGGACGGCCGACAGAAAAGCTGCAGGACGTTAGAGAGGCAGATACGAGTCAATTGAAGAAACCAACCGTTGAACTTGTAGGGCAATCTTCCTCCACATGCCAATTCGGTGCCCTCGACCTCCTGGCCAGGCAGAAACACATACATGGCCAAGCTAAGCAGATAGTAGCCCAGTACCCAAAGTGTCACGCTTGTATCGTAGAAGTCCGCAAACCCTCCCTTGGGCCAGCCAACCTCTGCCTTCAATTGGTCAAGAGTCACGGTAGAGGGGTGTAGTAGCGAAGGAGCCGGGCAGCCGGAGACATCGTTACACAGGAAGGTGAAGCTGTAAACCAGCACGGGCAGACCAAACACGATCCCAAACGCACCGAGACTGTGGGGTCAGTATCCAATTGCCAATTATAACAGAGCATTGAGCACCTACGGTCCTCCAAATTCATAGCCACGTTTCTCTGGAACGGGCTGAACCCGGACCTTGGTCTTAGAGTCCTTCTTAGGAGCCATGACGGGCTATACTGGATCTTGATATGGGGATTAAGGAGAACTGGAGAAGAAGCCGCGGGACTTTTGGCAGAAGCGGAGCCGACAATGCGGGCGGTGAGAAGCTCTCGATGGAATCTCCGCAAGAAATGCGACGTTTCACCTCCGCGCATTACGACGCCTGCTTCATCTGCTGCTCCTCCTTGTCCTTCCCCTCTTTTCTCTCGCTGCTTCTTCTTCTTCTCTTTATCTTTGGTCTCTCCTTTGCTTTGCTCTCCTTCGACCTTCCCAAACTTACCGATCAGTCCCTACTTCCAGCTTCCTGATCCATTCTCGTTCCCTTCCTCGGCTTAGAACCGTTATCGCCGACCGTCCCGGCTGCCTCCACCGGAGATCATCTTCCCACCATGAAGCCACCCACATCCTCCTTGCTGAGGTTCCTCTTCCTCCTGGCTGCTCCGCTTGTCTCTCAGGCTGCCTCCGATTCTTCTGCTCCGAATGATGCCCTCTCTCCCTGCGTCGTTCGCTCTCCCACGACCGGCCTATTCTACGATCTCAACACCATCTCCTTATCTCCGCCCCCAGTAGACGGGGACAAACCTCGCAAAGGCGCCCGAGACGAGAGTTGGCACGCCAGAGGACACGACTACAATGCCAACTTTACGTTAAATATCTGTGCGCCCGTGGTCGAAGATATCAAGGATGTGGTGGGAGTGGACCGCGCAAGGTGGAGGAATGTTAGCGCCTACTACAAGAGGGAGGGTAAAGTCTACTCCATTGGGTACGGTGACACTATTCTTCTTTACCACCTGCTATAATCACTCAACTGACACGATGTAGTCAACAAGCATCAGACCCCTTCTTCCGCGGCCGAAAGCTGGTTATGAACTATACCAATGGCTCCCCTTGTGCCGGCGACTATATCGGAAATGCCGCCCGCACCAAATCCACCATCATGTCGTTCCTTTGTGAGCGCGATACCCCTGCCTCTCAGGCGACAGTCTCCTTTGTCGGCACCATGGACCAGTGCACATACTTTTTCGAGGTTCGAAGCTCTGCCGCTTGTGGCGCGACCGCGCCCACACCGGATAACCCGGGTCTTTCGCCAGCCGGCGTTTTCGGCGTAATGTAAGTAAAGAACAACCTAATATGGGACCGATAACTGATAAGCATAGTGCCTTGATTGCCGTGGCGGCCTACCTGGTCGGTGGTTGCGCATACCAACGAACTGTCATGCACCAGCGCGGTTGGAGACAGTGCCCGAACTACAGTCTTTGGGCGGGAATGCTTGACTTCATCAAAGTAAGTATACTGGCGTTAATCCCGTTCCGACGGTCCCGGCGGCACGAGCAGGCCCCGTACAAGGAGTTTGGCAATGCAAGGTTACCTGTTTCGAGGATGGATTGAATCTGCTTTGGCTGGTCTGGAGCTCAATTACATCAGGCGTGCTTGCCATTCGTCTTTCCTTACGCTTGTCTTTCTTGCTTGTCTTTGAAGTCACTCGTTTGGACATCTAGCCTTTTGGACATTTAACCGTGTTGAACGCGGTATATACAGTCATTGCTCGTGCAGGCCTAGCAAAGACGTCCATATAAGCTGGAAACATGTCAATAGCTCGATTGATTGATTCTAGAAATCTTTCCTTGCTTCACACATCTATCTGAACACATACAACTGTCTCATTTGCTATTCTTCAAAAATACATTCATTATACAGAACCCTAAGCTAACCTCATCTCCTCTCTCTTCCCCTCTAAAACAGGACATGATCATCATCCTCTTCTCCTCCCTAGCCCGCCTCCTCCGCTTAAAACGCTCCCCGACTCTCGGCCACGGCCACACCCGCGGTAACAGCGTCAACCACCGCGGCAGTTTCGGCCGTCGAGGCAGTGACGTGGATGCCGAAAATCGACTGATAGATCAGTTAGATGAGGAGTGGGAGGATTAAAAAGATCTGTTTGTTAACTAGCTTTGTTTGTTTGTTTTATGGGATTTATAGCGCAACTATATGATATATTGCTGCCAGCATTGGTTGTATTTGTTGTACAATGGCCGATTATCATATGGATGGTGCAAGCATGCATGGGTTTATTTATCGATTGATTTGATTAAGCTGGCTCTGTTTTTATAGCGTCATTGAGTATTACTATTTACTATGAGGTGCATGAGAATATGTTTTGCATTTTACCACACCCGAGGCCGAAGCTTGTACTATTAGTACTAGTATAATGATATATTTTACGGTCAACTATGTGTAGTAAGTAGCACCCCATAAACAACTCCCAGGTATTTTAACCCTATTGGCTGGACATATCCTCGATTAAGCAATACATGCATGTCCTGGATGAAGAAACATTAGATCAATACGAAAACAAGCAAACTACCAACCCAGATAGCATACTACATCATCTCATCATTTAGCTTGAAGGAAAAAGATAATATAGAAAAATAACAAAAAATGCATTGTCGGGGAGTCGAACCCCGGCCACTCGCTTGGAAGGCGAGTATCATAACCGTTAGACTAACAATGCTTGGAAGAATGCATCATCCGTGAATCGAACACGGGCCTCATCGATGGCAACGATGAATTCTACCACTAGACCAATGATGCTTCCTTGAAAGAAACTGCCATTAATTTGATTTATACCCCACTACGCACCACCAGTGAAGTTAGATGCGGGATTTGCATGGAGTGGGGAGGTTTGAAGTTTAAACTGTGTGTGTCGGAATAAATCATATTTTATGTCGCATTCCTTCAGAGTAGTAAACTGAAATCAGTGTATGGTTATTGAGAATAGTAACTATTATATATACTTAGTATGTAATCAGCCCATTTATAATTGCGAAATCATCCCACGTTTATTTACATTGTCTGCAGTCGGTCTCCTTGACTGATTTGGTCGAACCTACATACAGTACGTTGTGCCATACACACTCTATCATCCGATAAGTTTCGATCATACATACTCCTATTAAGCTCAACCTAGCAGAAAATAGAATATATAACTACTCTGTTCATTAGCTCAAGCGCCATACCGTAGATCTGACATTAGTTACTTTGCGGATTGTGAACTGTTGTAAGGACCATATTCCAGCTAGCAAGCATTGTTAGTCTAACGGTTATGATACTCGCCTTCCAAGCGAGTGGCCGGGGTTCGACTCCCCGACAATGCATTTTTTGTTGTTTCCCTCTCTACCTATCTGTTTTGTTCTTTTTGATTTATTCTTCTTGTTCTTTCTGCTCAGATTGCGGGGTTAGTGGGCTATATTGAATCTGTTCATGGTCGCTTCCATGAATGTGTCCAACCAATATTTGGCTAACTGTATTGATGATAACATCGACTTATCTACGCATGTGGCCGAAATCCTTAGATTGAGGTATATTTATTCTCTGTTGAATATATAACCATAATATAAATACACAGCATCAAGGCATGACATGACCAGACCAGACTAAAAACGTCGCGTCGCATATACCACATAGCCAAGGTCGTTCATAAACTCCAAAATCTTTTCCAAAAACCAGACCGTCCGCCCCAAGCCCGAATGTACCCCGCTGAAAACTAAAACCCAAATCAAATGATATTTCTTCCTACCCGCAGACACGAAAATACAATTGCTTATGCCTGTGAGCCGCGATTCACCCCCAGTCCTAAGTCAAATGTTCCCATCGGTATGTTTCCGAATCCAGAGAGATCGGGACCTCCCACGACGGGGTTACCTGAACCGGCGGCCTGTGAATTTGGATCAAGGCCACCACCGGCGCCTACGGGATCGAGATTGAAGGGCAAGAACCAGGCGCTGGGTTGATAGTATTCACCTGCACCGGACGGGGCATTAGGGTCTAATTGACCGGTAAAGATGGTGGAGGGGTCTTCATTAGGGGGAGCTTCGGGGCGGTTCACGGGAGCGGGCATCGCCGGATTCTCGGGTGGGACGAGGGATGCAGACGGGTCAAAGTCGCCAAAGGAGCCGTAGACAAATTGTCGATCCAGCTGCGGGAGTTGGTCTGCTGCGGGCATGGAAAAGTCGAAGCCGGGTTGTGCGAAGGGCTGTTGTCCCGCGCGGTTCTGGTTGAACACGGCCGGCTGAGGGAACCCAGTGCCGGTGGTCCCCAGCATGCCCGGAGCGCCGTCCATGGCGATTTCATTCATTGACTGCGGGGGAGTTGGTCCATCGAACCCGCTCACGCTGTCAGCCTTGCTGCTCTTCTTCGAATGCCTACGCGGAGCGCTCGGCTGTGGTGTAGGAGAGAGGCTGGCAAAGAATTCCTCGACGCTCTGAAGGTCTGGCCGTTGACTCATGACACCATCGTCACTCTTTGCTTTTTGAGGATCGGGTTCCTCCCAATGTGACCTCGACATCCCATGGGGATACTTGTCGAACCAGTCACCATACTGGAACATGGGCGCGATCTGCCCACCATTCTGCATAACCACCGTGCCTTTGATGGCCGCATCCGCAAATTGGCGGTATCGGTCCTTGGCACTTTCCACCATGTAGTGAAACATTCCCCAATACTTCTTCATCTTATTGAGGTAACGGTATGTATGGCGCAGATTTTCCTTGGAACGCGCCTCCAACTGTGCGTTCTTCGAGAATATGCCCCATATATGGACAGTGCTGGCCGAATAAGCGCAGTATCCGGCGAACGGAACAGTGAGAGGGTAAGCGGATGCACGGTCGATGAGGATAGAAATATGATGAGCAGCTTCCACTGCTGCCCGGCCGGCATTGCTCAGGAATGCCTTGGGCATGTCACGGGGAGGTCGTCCTCCCGGTGATAGCGGTATGGCGAATTGATTCAAGAAGAGCATGTTCTGGTGGATGATAATGTGCAGAAAGATGAACTGGTTGGCGATTCGGTCGGCTGCATGGATCTGAAGGTTTTCGTAAGTGAACAAGAGATGGCTAGGGAGAGACGCGGAAAACTCCTCAATCTGCCGCTTGAGGCGCATGTACCCAGACTCCTGCGACCACAGTGGCTGCGTGTCTTTTCTTTTTCCTCCGAGGTTGAGATAATCAACGATGCGGCCCCATATGACAACTGCGCGGATGATAAAGGCTGATACACCCATATTCTCCTTCGCATTAGATAGCTGACCAACATCGTCTGGAACCGGATTGAGAACATTGCCGTCCAAGTCTTCCGTTGGCCCTGGAATCTCCATCTGAAAATGTGACTCCTTAATAGGGAGCTGTATTTGCAGGAACTTCTCGTTTCCTATCGGCGGACGCTGACTCCCGGATGAATTATAACGGTCCATCAAGAAACAAGCCCACATGGTTCGTCTCCGTATCTCTCGATCTGTAAAACTAAGCTGCGATCCATTGCCATTGTTCTGGATTAATAGAGGGTCATGGTCGAGCTCCCTATGTAATTGCAGGGCATACGCCATGCGCAGTGCTTGGCCACCGAATGACCAACTCCGCCCGCCATGACATGTACCGAACTCATGAAGACCCAGAAGCAGAAACACGGTCAGAATAGTGATATTAGGCTCGTCATGGCGACTCAGGGCTATAGCAGCTGCTGGATTGGCCCAGTTCTCGCCACGCAGGAAAGGAGGTTCGGAATTAATCTGTGGATGGGTTGAAAACCGAGCGGAAACGGCGCAAACGGCAAGTATAAGAACTGGAGGCACGGTTCTCGCCTTGAGTCTTCGAATAAAGCTTGGTTTGTGAAGGAGGAGATAAGATTGCCCGTAGACGCAATCGAAGAACACCTCTGCCAGGTGCTCTTGGATCTCCAATGACGGTAAAAACTCGGCACCTGCACTCATTAAGCCCGACGCATCACCTGGTTTACTCTCACGGCGCATCGGAAAGGTATCCTGCGGACCATTGCGGCTCTCCCGAGCCCACTCATCCATTTCAGCAGCAAAAGCCTCTTCCGCTGTCCGCTTCTTCTGCGCCTTGTTGGTCTGTCCCGGTTGCGGCGGTCGAACCACCGACCGGCCAATGGCACCCATATCCCTAGTTTCTTCCTTGGGGATGGTTTTGATGACCCGGTCCTCCATCCTCTTCAAGCGCTTATCCAGCATCGCCATGTAGTCCGTCCGGGGCGCCGCCTTTCTGGTAGTGACCTTGTAAACACATGGTATTCGAGAGCGCGAGCAGTGCTTGCACGCAGGCTTTTCGCCGGAGCATCGGATCTTCTTTCTTCGACAAGCAATGCAGGCGAGGGGTAGGCGCTTTCGCTCCTTGCCGGCTTTCGTCTTCATTTCGCTCCACGCTGGTTTTTCGCCTCCCTGTTGGTCGTGATTGTGTGCGGGGTCGCCTCTGCCGTCGTCCCGGTGGGCATCAATCCCCGACTCGTGCGAGGTACCCGGATCACCGGCAGTAACGGCGCTGCCGGGATCACGCGAGCTGGCCCGGCTGTGGTTGTCGAGGTCTTCGGGAAGGACGATATCGTCGTGGCCCAGGGTCAGGCCGGAGGCCAAGGGGGACTCGTCGGACTCCGGAGGGATCATGATGGGCGCAGGTACCCCAAGAACAAGACCCGGATCATCGTTCGGTAGGAAGGGAGTGGATGCGGAGGGAGTTGGCCACAGGGTCTGGTCCTGCTGGTGCTCTGGGGAGAAAGACGGGACGAAACCGCGGGATGAGGCGGTGGTCGAAATCGGTGGGTATGGGGAAGGCTGGCTAGGACGGGCGCTGACTGGAGGCTTGGCACCTCTCGCCGTCGTCATCCTGGGGGAATTTACCCTTTAGTAATTTAGATATTCACCGTCCCCAGATATTATTCAGTATAGTAAATAGTTGTAGAAAATGTCAAATTGGGGATGCTGGGTGATGATAATGATGCCCATAGGAAAAAAGGTACAGCGCCAATAAGGAACCCAGTTTCCAGAACATGGGTGTTGTAAAGAAGAAGGTTCAATAGCTGAACGTGCAAGTCCGGAGTGTCATCGGTGGTAATATATATGGGGCTGCGGTCATTGGACAACCATCAACTGGCTCAACCACCCAGACCCTTGCGGAACCCACTAGACAAGACCAATCTCCAGAACTACTAGAACAAATAATATCGAGAAGGGGAATGAGGTACACAATAGCGGTGGATGGAATCGTGCAGCGAGGGAACGTATCGGAAGCCTGCAGCGACGTTGGGTAAATACCAACGAATGCATGGCGTTTCTAGCCCGCAGCATCACTGGCTGCTGTTATCCCGCAATGATCCCGGGGAAAAGTTACGCTATCAACTACTAGCTTAGTGCTGGCTTCTTTGCTGACAGATGCCTCCTTACTCAATTTCCTCGATTGTTGATTTTATCTAAGCTTGTATCTCCGGGGCTTATAGTATTACGGTACGGATGTATAATTCAAATCTTCAAATCTGTCCTCCATTATGCCTCCCACTCCCACTTCCCCCCAATCAGTTCAACCATGGCCGGTGCTCAAACTCCGTGCTAGTGTGGTGCACGCGACTTCCCCTCTCGTATCCTGGTCAAGCGTCTCTAGCCGGATGCAACCTAGCATTAACCCGAGCTTGCTGTGGTCCGGGGCCATCCTACGACGACTTGGGCCGCCCAACTCGCTGACGCGGTGTGGCACTCTCTAGTGACGCCTGAATTTCCGAACCCAAAGCATAGACGCCATAGCTAGGAAAGACGATCCAGAGAGCACTAATGCGACCGTTAGATGAAACAACAACACCATCAAAGAACTGAAACCTACTTGGGTATGATCCACAGGAAGAACAAGGTCCAAGGGTCGTTGCGATCAACGTCTGCGAAACCAGAGAAAGCCTCGTTCAGCCCTATGCAATATTCGTTAGAGTCATATTCCGAACTAATCCTGACAGCATAATGGCGACTCACAGAATAGGGCCGTCTTCGCAAGGGTCATAACCGAGGCGCTATATGCCACCAGAAGCGCAGTCGCGCCGGGACGACCAGTAACAACCTTGGACTCTTTCAGCATCCACATCGGTCCTTTCTTGGTTTTGCGTTGGCCTCGAGACGTGTTTCCCGCTGTGACCCCATGCGTATACACAATCACCAGGTAGTAGATATATCCAGCGGTCTCGACCAGGTTCAGGATCGTTTGCGCAATGGTAAATTCATTGCGCGCATTGAATGCCGGCCAGCCGTAGAGGTAATCGATTGTGCCATACAGCGCATACGGAGTCCAGATCGGGGAATGTAGCTTGCTTTCGAGCTTCAGGTGAGGGCGTAGCAACACGTAGCTGGCATCCCATAGTACTAGCGGGACGGAGAAGATCAACCACAGGGTAATGGCACCAGACGGAACATGCACCCATTTTTTCCCGGAGCCATTGGCACCCGTAGAAGATGAAGACGGTGTTGATGGCGGCGAAGCTCTCCCAGTCGCGGGGGGCGGAAAGTCGCGGGGATGGTGTCGCGTGGAGACCATGATGATATTCGTGTAGACAATGAAGCGTATCGATAGGGAGTTAGGTTATTGGCAGGGCAAAAGAATCACGAGATCCATGTGAGGATAAAGATTTGAAAGACATTAAGAAGATTGAGCGCATGGATGCGAAAAGTGAACCAGTCCTTCCGGGGGGCTCCCAAGTATGAGTGACGGATAGTGACGTCGTCCAAGTTGAGCTCCAGCGCCACCTGTTCGCTGGCATGACGGGTGGGTTCGTCTTCCCTTCCATGAGATTTCCATGACCCGATCTGGACTGGACCCTAGACAGCTCGGATATATCTAATCTGCGTTGAAAATAGATCCGGGAAATTGAAGATCTCTCCACTCGTGGGGATTTCAGCGGTGCGCGGAAGGGGGATATACTCTCCGCCGCCTGGCTCTTTACGTTTATCCGATAGCTGTCTCTTGCTGCGCTGACCTTTAAACAAGCACGTAGTGGCATTGCTTGCTAGTCAGGCGATCCTAGACATTCTACTATTGAAAATGAGCTGAATAGAGTGTGGAAAAGCTTTCATCTCTACAAAACACTATGATCTGACATGTAACAGGTTATAGTGTCTTACTGTACCTAACAGATACACAGCAGAAAACTTCCGCTTGGACATCGCTCTGCAGCAGAATATGAAAGTCTAGAACCAATAGCCTATCCATGATCTTCATCTTAGCGGACACCTGGTCCTTTTTGTTCCACGAACCGGTGGGTAGTCGTGGGTGTTGTTGTCCCCTAATCTGACCGTTGCACCAAATAAAGTGCTTATGGCTTCAATGGAGCTTGGGCCGAGACAGAGTCCACTCACCAAGCATTGGAAACAGTCCACAGACAAGACCAATCATGCCTTCTACAGTCCCACCGAGAATGTCTTGTCAATAGATGAAAATCCATCCACCTGCCTCGATCGTTCCGGTTATCCTTCGCTCCATGTATCCCAATTGGGAAAGATGCCCCGGATCGACTACGGTTTGCCATAAAAGCGGAGAGTGCAGAAGATATGCCGAAGTCTCCAGAGTAGCTTTCCCCACTAAAGCCCACTCTTTTGGGCAGCATACAGTTACGTTATAGTCGTTTCGAATTGCCAGTTCACGGGGAAGATCACTTGGGGTGAGCACTGATTACATTCTCACCTGGTAAGAGATGGACCCCAAGAAGCACCAAAAGGTTGAAGCTCACCAAGCATGGTTATGATCAGCACAAGTTGCTAACTTGTTTATGAAGGATCTCGATAGACTTGCTCGCATCCGAGAAAATCAGCGGAATAGTCGCGCTAGGAAACAACAGCACACCCGCGAGTTAGAAAACAAGTTGGCTGCTTTGCAAGAACAAGCGCGTCACCGGGATGTGGAACATAGAATGGCCGTGCAGAGGCTTGAGGCGGAGAACAGGAAGTTGAGATATCTTCTGACTCGCTCGGGCTTGTCGTCGGAATTATTAGAACAGTATCTGCAAATCGATGATCCAGCGTTGACCGAAAAAGTAGCCATTCCGAAGCTTCGTTCGACTGAAGCACAATGCCAGTCACAAGACAGTTCAGCCTGTGTGCCAAAGGCGAGAAATGCTGCTACCGGTGCACTACAATCAATTGAGCCGGGCCTTTCTAGTCCAGGACAAAGCTGTGATCGTGTTACAAAGCCTCGTTCGGAGATTGTGCAGGCGGCCTCGGACATTGAAGTGCCCGTCCGAGACCAATCTGTCTGTGGTTGTGGCCCCGGGGAAGCCGTGGAGTCATGGCCGAGTAGTGGTGATGTTTTGAATACCACACTTTGTGCCATTGCAGATGAATTGATCGACCAGTACAATACACGTGGAGTGGAGCTGTCAGAGATCCGCAGGAAACTCTGGGCCGGTTTCTCCAAAGGACTCACTACAGAGGAGGGATGCAGAGTACAGAACCATATACTGTTTCAGGTCCTGGATGAAATAAGCAACAGCTGATAGTATGTCTATTGTTTTGTGATGGTATTAAATATGGGCTCAACAAGACGGTTAAGGAGCCCAATTTTGTCTTTTGGCAACCCACTTGACCACATATACTAATCCCAGAAGCACGGGGACCTCAATGAGAGGTCCAACTGTTGCTGCCAAAGCCTGGTCGCTATCCACGCCAAATGTTGCTATCGCGACTGCGATAGCGAGCTCAAAGTTATTGCTGGCAGCAGTGAAACTCTGCGTGCAAGACAATCTGTATCCGAAACCGCAGCGGCGTGTTACGGCAAGAGTTACACCAAAGATGACAGCGAAGTAGACGACCAGAGGAGCCGCTACTCGGATAACAGATACGATCTGGTGGACCACATGTCGCCCCTGTGACGCGAACAGAACCAAGATGGTGAACAGCAAGCCGATCAGAGACAGTGGGCTAATCCATTTCAAGAAATGCTTATCGTACCACTCTCTGCTGATCAGGAACCTAAGGGAGAAACGGGTGACGATGGCTGCTCCCAGAGGGATACCAAGGAATACGCCAACGCTTTTTGCAGCCAGCGAATAGTCGATTGTTAGACCGTGATTCGCTCCACCAATGACGCGAATGAAAAAGATGGCGAGGGGTGCGAATAGGACCATTTGCAAGATCGAGTTTATGGCGACTAGAATTGCGCAGTATTCCCCATCGCCGCCTGCTAGTCCTGTCCATACGAGGACCTATGCACGTCAGCTTATTGTACTACTTCCAGCGAGGGCATGACATACCATGGCAATGCATCGAGCAATACCGACAAGGATAAGACCCTCTCGAAGGCCCCTCTCGTCGGGAAGAAACGCCCAGGCGAGACCGAGCTACCTCACATTAGCCCACCATTACCCACAAGGTGACATGGACCTACCATGAACAGCGGAGCTATAATCCAATTGACGACGATACTGAAGCCCACCTGTATCCAAAGTCCCTTCTCCCGAAATGACCGATGTAGCGTTTCGAACCTCACTTTACACAAGATGGGATACATCATGACCAAGAGACCGATAGCTAGGATGCTGTTGGCATATACTCTTTCATCTTCAATTCAATAGCATTGAATGGACAACAACGTACCAATAGGCACAGAAACGCCCACAAACTTCCCCCTCTCTAGCGCTTTGCTCGTATTAGGGACGAAGTTCCCCAAAATTATACCAACCGCCATGGCAAGGAAGATCCAGACCGCAAGGAAGCGATCCAGAATAGCCAATTGCTGGAAAGCAGATGTTGGGCCTTGTTCGGAATGGTCATGTTGACTCTCGCTGCACGCCTCTACATCAGGATGGTCCTTCTCTTCGTGTGCCATAGTGCGAAGTACACCTTTGTTAATATGATTGATTGCTCAGGCGTAGAATGAGAATTACATTCCATAGTCCTTGCCTTTTGATGCCATACATCGGGACGCCAAGTCGAACATCCAATCAGAATCGAGCAGTGACATACTGCGTATCACGTGATATACAGAGCCCACGGTACTATAGAGGTCCAATGCTCAGAGAACTACCAGAGCACAGCATCATATATTCATTCAAATATCTGCAAAAATTATGCCCCCCAAAGTAGTATTACCTGGGTACTATCGAGGCAGAAACCCGTGCTCGAAACCAACCATAGCAAGTACACACTGTAGACCAGGTCACAGGAGTTCTTAAAATTGTCTGAAGCGAATTAAGTAGTGACTTGATTGATAAAGTGTCCCATCTAATCCCACTAACTGATAAAACATCGTCCCCTCTCCTACCCAAATGGTAGCATTATAAACCACACCGTCACATTTGGAACGAAAAGCGGGAGAGAGAGAAAGGAAAAAAACTTAAACCCCCCATAAAAGAGAAAACGAAGTAATGAATCTGTGTAAGATTCGGGCTCAACCGATCCGATGATCCGAAACGCAGCAATCTACTTAGTAATTTTAGTGCCAAAGGAAGAAAGAGAGATTGAGCACGCGCCGTGGATAATGGGGAAAGGTATAGGCATGGATACATTAGTTAGTACGTAGATACATATCTGCAGGGTAACGTCATAGTTGACAGGGAAGAAACAAAGAAATTTTTGTTTGTCCGACAAGGCAGACATAAATCTAGATATCCTTTGCATTAGGTGGTATAGTGTACTTTTCTGGTTTAGATCTAGTTAGTAGTTACACCTCCAGATTCATTACTTTGACTGCCTAGTGCATTTGTCTTCGCTCGGACCCCTCTACTAAATGTCTAAGTCGCCGATATATGTCCGGAGGACGTGATTCCGTTCGTTGGATACTATAGGACTACTTATTATTGTAGGATACGAGAACACTGGAATTTTTCTACCGGACATACCACCTGCCCGTCGTACGGGTAATCATCGGCAGGAAAACAGGCTCAGTGTGGATGCCGTTCGGGTTCATCCGTCAATGAGCCTTGGTGAGCTGCTACATGTCCCCGGGTTTGTCGCGGTTGTGGCTGGTGGAGGCCCCAGTTCCGGGATACACCCCACACGGGGAAGGGTGGAAATTGCGAAGGGTAACTCGGGTGTCTAATGCACTGTTTAATGAGTACCTTCTGCCGGGCTTTGCTTGATTAGTATGCCGTGGGAAAATAGCCCTGGCTTCATTTCCAATGCATGTACGAGGGCGTCGTGCCGCTTGTAAGCTTTTAGTGGCTGGGACACTTTACCTGAACCTGTTCTATATCAGTGATACAGATGCGACTTTTGTGGACTTCCCGTAGACATCGGATACCAGGCTCGGGGCTTTCGGGTCGATGTAGCTGATTTACTTCCCGTCTCGAGGCTTTCGGCGTCAAGATGATTTTCGAATATCGGCATGCCTAGCAGCAAAAAGGATGTCAGGCGGAAAGATGCCGTTGCTTGTTATCCTGGGTGTGTGAGACCAGGAGCGCGGATGGTGCGGGGGTGGGAGGCTCGAGTCAAAGCCAGCCAAATCTTGGCAGATGACGCCTGGACAGATCAGGATTAATCTCAGAAAACTAGGCAAGACAAGCGAAAGGCAAATAGTAATGCACGTCGGGCTCAGAGGGGGCCGCAACCGGAGTATTCGGCAGTTCAGAGTCGAAGATTAGAAGCCATCTTCGATCATGCAACCTGGTATATCCCGTACCCACAAGCAAACTGGGTCTTTGGCTACCTTTCAAAGGAAAGCGACATATTGGTAAGCAGAAGAAATGGAAGAAATGGCTCAACTTCTACCCGTAATCGGAGGTCGAGCGGGCTAGTTAGTCGTTCAGGACGGAAACAAGACTTTCATCGAGTCTGGATCCCGAATCCTCAGTGTACTAGACTATACGTGTGAGTAGTAGTAGTGAGTACCCCACGGAGAAATTCCCCACATCTTCAACTAACCCCGAATGGCCTGTCTCTGCATGAGCGCATGCGGCACCTGACCGAGAGCAGCCACCCTCCGAGAAATTTCTACGAAATCGATGCTTTTTTAGTAAACCGGTCAAGCGTTATGGTTCAAAATCATTGAACTGCCATGTGGTCGGCAATGTCCGCTCTACCGGCGATGCGTGGACAATCAACAGTCCGGACTTTGTCCGAGAACTCACTGCGAACAAGCAGTGGATGTCTTGACTAGGAGATAGAAAACACACTCACGGTCATGCAAGCAATTTCTCCTCTTCAGAGAGTACTCTGACAAGGCCACTATTATTTTGCAGTGGCGCCTCATCACCGTCAGCAGCACCTTTAGCCGAAAGTGGGGTAATTTTTTCCCCCAGGCTAACCGCTAACCTGGATAAATGATGAGCGACATTTGTGTTTAGGCGACACCGAGGATAATCGGAGTCAAGAGTGACGCCCGGAACATCGAGAGCAGTGAAGACGTCCCGTTCTTCTTCCGACGGGATCCCATCCGTATTGTAGGAAGAAGGAGCTGATTACCTCATCTCATTCACCTCCCAGAGTGGAGCATCCCTTCTACTGTTGACCGAAATTAAGAGATTCCAAAGGGAGGAGTGCATTGTTTAGAAAGTGGTAGGTATGGGCTGACCCTTGCGGGAGGCCGTTGGGTCGACGTAAGGTGCATTGGAGCCATGTCGGTACGATGACATTTGTTGTGCTCAGAGACCGCGCTTGGCGGTATCTGCTTGTCTGACATGTCGCCAGGCACCTGTTTAACCAACTGGGTTTATGGTGTAGTACTCTGGTTGTGCCATCGGTCTGACCGCTGGGAAGCTGCTAGGATGATGAAGGGAAATGCGGGGAATGCTGGGGTGATGAGTGGAAGAAGACGGAATTACACGGTGGATACTTGGATACACACAAGAGTGACGGTAAGACGCCCAGCCGGATTCGGACCAACAATAGACTTGACGGCACGGATCCATGGGACTCTGGCTAGTAGTAGTACGAAGTAGTAGTACCTGTTAAAGACTAATTCCTCCAATGACGACAGCGCGGAAAAACTCCCTCTGCTTCATGCTCAATTCCCCCATGCGCCATAGGTATTCACGTCGAGTAAGTAGAAGCTAAATGTGCAGGGCCACTCGGGATTCGCTCTGGATGGAGTATTGGCGAGAATGAGCCAGACTTGCATGGAGATAAACTGCTAGACTGGTGTCTCAGTGAAGAATGTAAAAGTTGATCTGATACACCTTCCAAATCAGACATACATCAACAAGGATGTAGATTGAGAAAGGCAAAATATCATGCTTCTATGAGTTAGTTAATCGCTAACTAATGGTGGTATTGACGTAAACTTGAATGGTGCAGGTAATGATGCCGGTTTACCCACAGCTGCAGGGACTGGACGAAGTACTGTGTAACGTAATTACCGGGGCGACCCCTGGCCAAACTAGTGAACTACTCCGTAAATCCCCTTCCCCGAATGGCTTCTTTCCCCCAGCTTTTCGTATTTTCCCACTCTCCAAGACCAATTCCAGCTTGGTCACTATTGCCACTAAAAATGGTCAAAGGAAGCGGGGCTCCAGACTTGTCCCAGCGTCGACCACGGACGCCGTTCCCCATGTTGTGCTGGTCTATAGGCTGGGAATAATCCTTACCCCGGTCAACTCAACCTCACCTGACCCTCCGACCTCTTTTGCCAACCGATGTAGAGTTTGTACATGGCTCTGCCGGCCCGAATGCATCATCGTTCGAGCTCCTTCCAGCTTCTCCGACAGTGCCTTGCTTGCCTAATTTCCGACTCCTCCAGGGCCGGTCTACTGGCCTGTTCCACCCAGTCTCCCAATCGGGACATCCCACGTCGATCAACATACCGGACCAAACATTTATCGCCCATGCTTAGCGTGTCTCTCTTTGACACTGCATGCGGGACTGTGAATTGCATGAGTGGGTAGCTTTGCGGAGACAGCTGCACTGGCATACATCATTGTTGGGTTCCTCAATTCGCATGCCGTGGCGGACGGTCACTTCGTGGCGCTCAAACTATTTAATATGGCCCGGCTCCCCTTTCTCTCGCTATTTTCGTTTCTGTCCTCCCTAAACCTCCAGTCTCTCCCTTGGACAGGTGTTGCACGGTTGCTCACCTGGTTTGTTTTGCTCCCCCTTTGGGCGACCTTGCCATCATGAGGTTCACTTTGATTGAGGCGGTGGCTCTTACTGCCGTCTCGCTGGCCAGCGCTGTACGTGCCGTTCCTTTGTCCTGTGAATTGCAATCGTGCTCAATTAGATTCACTTGTTTGTTTCATCATCGCTGACAATGGTCTATTCATAGGATGAATTGGCTTACTCCCCACCGTATTACCCATCCCCTTGGGCCAATGGCCAGGGCGACTGGGCGCAGGCATACCAGCGCGCTGTTGATATTGTCTCGCAGATGACATTGGCTGAGAAGGTCAATCTGACCACAGGAACTGGGTAGGACTTACATGGCGCAATCTGTATGCTCCGGCTAACAACTTCTAGATGGGAATTGGAGCTATGTGTTGGTCAGACTGGCGGTGTTCCCCGGTAGGTTTGAAAAGAATGTCGAGACAGGGGGCATTCATTGATTAACGGCGACAGATTGGGAGTTCCGGGAATGTGTTTACAGGATAGCCCTCTGG